CCATGTCACTGACTGAATCAACCTCCTCCCGATATGACGGGATTGTAACATCAACCACCCATGTCACTGACTGAATCAACCTCCTCCCGATATGACGGGATTGTAACATCAACCACCCATGTCACTGACTGAATCAACCTACTCCCGATATGATGGGATTGTAACATAAACCCCCATGTCACTGACTGAATCAACCTACTCCCGATATGACGGGATTGTAACATCAACCACCCATGTCACTGACTGAATCAACCTCCTCCCGATATGACGGGATTGTAACATCAACCACCCATGTCGCTGACTGAATCAAACTCCTCCCGATATGACGGGATTGTAAAATCAACCACCCATGTCACTGACTGAATCAATCTCCTCCCGATATGACGGGATTGTAACATCAACCACCCATGTCACTGACTGAATCAACCTCCTCCCGATATGATGGGATTGTAACATCAACCACCCATGTAAGTGACTGAATCAACCTACTCCCGATATGACGGGATTGTAACATCAACCACCCATGTCACTGACTGAATCAATCTCCTCCCGATATGACGGGATTGTAACATCAACCACCCATGTCACTGACTGAATCAACCTCCTCCCGATATGATGGGATTGTAACATCAACCACCCATGTCACTGACTGAATCAATCTCCTCCCGATATGATGGGATTGTAACATCAACCACCCATGTCACTGACTGAATCAACCTCCTCCCGATATGACGGGATTGTAACATCAACCACCCATGTCACTGACTGAATCAACCTCCTCCCGATATGACGGGATTGTAACATCAACCACCCATGTCACTGACTGAATCAACCTCCTCCCGATATGACGGGATTGTAACATCAACCACCCATGTCACTGACTGAATCAACCTCCTCCCGATATGACGGGATTGTAACATCAACCACCCATGTCACTGACTGAATGAACCTCCTCCCGATATGACGGGATTGTAACATCAACCACCCATGTAAGTGACTGAATCAACCTCCTCCCGATATGACGGGATTGTAGCATCAACCACCCATGTCACTGACTGAATCAATCTCCTCCCGATATGACGGGATTGTAACATCAACCACCCATGTCACTGACTGAATCAACCTCCTCCCGATATGACGGGATTGTAACATCAACCACCCATGTCACTGACTGAATCAATCTCCTCCCGATATGACGGGATTATAACATCAACCACCCATGTCACTGACTGAATCAACCTCCTCCCGATATGACGGGATTATAACATCAACCCCCATGTCACTGACTGAATCAATCTCCTCCCGATATGACGGGACTGTAACATCAACCACCCATGTCACTGACTGAATCAATCTCCTCCCGATATGACGGGATTGTAACATCAACCACCCATGTCACTGACTGAATCAATCTCCTCCCGATATGACGGGATTGTAACATCAACCACCCATGTCACTGACTGAATCAACCTCCTCCCGATATGACGGGATTGTAACATCAACCACCCATGTCACTGACTGAATCAACCTCCTCCCGATATGACGGGATTGTAACATCAACCACCCATGTCACTGACTGAATCAACCTCCTCCCGATATGACGGGATTGTAACATCAACCATCCATGTCACTGACTGAATCAACCTCCTCCCGATATGACGGGATTGTAACATCAACCACCCATGTCACTGACTGAATCAACCTCCTCCCGATATGACGGGATTGTAACATCAACCACCCATGTCACTGACTGAATCAACCTCCTCCCGATATGACGGGATTGTAACATCAACCACCCATGTCACTGACTGAATCAACCTCCTCCCGATATGACGGGATTGTAACATCAACCACCCATGTCACTGACTGAATCAACCTCCTCCCGATATGACGGGATTGTAACATCAACCACCCATGTCACTGACTGAATCAACCTCCTCCCGATATGACGGGATTGTAACATCAACCACCCATGTCACTGACTGAATCAACCTCCTCCCGATATGATGGGATTGTAACATCAACCACCCATGTCACTGACTGAATCAACCTCCTCCCGATATGACGGGATTGTAACATCAACCACCCATGTCACTGATTGAATCAACCTCCTCCCGATATGACGGGATTGTAACATCAACCACCCATGTCACTGACTGAATCAACCTCCTCCCGATATGACGGGATTGTAACATCAACCACCCATGTCACTGACTGAATCAACCTCCTCCCGATATGACGGGATTGTAACATCAACCACCCATGTCACTGACTGAATCAACCTCCTCCCGATATGACGGGATTGTAACATCAACCACCCATGTCACTGACTGAATCAACCTCCTCCCGATATGACGGGATTGTAACATCAACCACCGATGTCACTGACTGAATCAACCTCCTCCCGATATGACGGGATTGTAACATCAACCACCCATGTAAGTGACTGAATCAACCTCCTCCCGATATGACGGGATTGTAGCATCAACCACCCATGTCACTGACTGAATCAATCTCCTCCCGATATGACGGGATTGTAACATCAACCACCCATGTCACTGACTGAATCAACCTCCTCCCGATATGACGGGATTGTAACATCAACCACCCATGTCACTGACTGAATCAATCTCCTCCCGATATGACGGGATTATAACATCAACCACCCATGTCACTGACTGAATCAACCTCCTCCCGATATGACGGGATTGTAACATCAACCACCCATGTCACTGACTGAATCAACCTCCTCCCGATATGACGGGATTGTAACATCAACCACCGATGTCACTGACTGAATCAACCTCCTCCCGATATGACGGGATTGTAACATCAACCACCCATGTAAGTGACTGAATCAACCTCCTCCCGATATGACGGGATTGTAGCATCAACCACCCATGTCACTGACTGAATCAATCTCCTCCCGATATGACGGGATTGTAACATCAACCACCCATGTCACTGACTGAATCAACCTCCTCCCGATATGACGGGATTGTAACATCAACCACCCATGTCACTGACTGAATCAACCTCCTCCCGATATGACGGGATTGTAACATCAACCACCCATGTCACTGACTGAATCAACCTCCTCCCGGTATGACGGGATTGTAACATCAACCACCCATGTCACTGATTGAATCAACCTCCTCCCGATATGACGGGATTGTAACATCAACCACCCATGTCACTGACTGACATTGAAGGTCAGGGTTACTGGACCGGACTTGCAAATAACTTTCATAATAAGGTAGTTAGACTCTTTAGATTATCTGTCGTGAAAGTTGTCCTGCGTTAGACATATGTTTGCACCAATCGGAAGTGCATATACCTTTATGAAGGTAGCTGGACGGGAAGGTTCGGGTTTAACCTTGTACTGCATTGGGTATGTGTTTTTAATTAGACAAGAAGTAATAAGTGGAAGTCATTATTATGGGAAGAAAACACTTGGGTTCTGCTCTACGACAGCCGGAGGGAAGGAACTTTAATCTGTTTGGATGCTGTGGATTTTCTGAATGTTTTGACATACTAGCGTATACAATTATCTAAACGTCCTTCACAACACTTCCCTTGCCCCCAATGCAGAACTGATGCAGCGAATCACTTCAATGTAAATATAAGGTGTTCAAAAGTAAGGTAAGACGTTAATAATATCTTTTTTTAGCATATGAAAAAATGCATGCAACAAACAAGAGAAGGTCGTCAGTCACATCTCCTGTTGACCTAGCCTCTACAACTAAAGAAGTTGGCCATAGTTCGTCAAAGATTAAAGCACAAACAGGTAATCTATGTCAGTTATCTAACGCTGCAACAAAAGCTCGTCAGTTATTTGCTACCTGATATGTAGCTTCGACATACACAGTTATGAAATGGATGTAGGTCAAGTAAGATTTGTTGGTGTTCCCGACAGTCAGCAAAGCTGCATCTTACTTATAAACGTGATGGAGATCCATGTGACCAGGTCGTACATCTTGTGACCAGGGTTAATTTAATTTTATTGATTTATATTGGAGTTCATTAATAATCATTCATGTCGTTTTTACTGAAGTATGTCTAATTGCACACAATCACGAGACGGCATCTTCATTTCCATGTTCCCTTCGATGCCGAGTTCATCATCTTCACCTCAATGAAATTACCAAAAATGTACAACAATGTCTCCTTCCGTATCACTACCGCTGACCGACCGTTCACTGACAACAGTACGCGGGATTTCAGAGGAGGAGTTTCGTTGATTGAGACATAAGTGTACCGTGTAAGTAATCAGAACCAATCTGACAATCTACCTGCTGTTATGTACATGTGTGTTATGTTTTCCAATGTAACCAAAATAAGAAGATAAAGGTGGGCTGTTGTGGAGGGGGGTAACCCTCTTAAACCCTAACGTTCAACATATGTACAGACGTAGGTGAATTCGACTGTAGGTGAAGGTGTGTAAGAAAGATGGTTTATCTGTTTCAGACTCAGATAGTTTCATGCCGTCGCAAAAAACCCGGAATATTGCTGACTGCAGAGTTAACCAGCGTCAACTCTCACTCACAAATATCATTTACGGAACTTTTGATTTCCCTTACTATACTAGCAAGCAGGTATCCTATTTCTGTCTGATACTGTGAACCCTACTTTCATAAACATGCGTTTGGGGCTCTGTAAAAGTGTCCTACTCTGAAACTGAAATTTGTGTATGTTTCTATGATCATGTATTTATTATCAGTTTTGTTGTTAAACATATTTTAAAAAGCAAGAACCAGAAGGCTTAGAAGTTTAGACATTTTGATGCATGTCAATGAGTATGCAAAAGGGTCAAGGCACCATGACAGCATTTCAACTTCAGGTTCCCCTTTTTCTTTGCATCTGTTGAACCAATGTGTTTTTTACTTTTAACATAAATGTCTTTCTCTATAGTAAAGACGAGGTTCTACACAGTCAATAAGTTCTATTGACCTGATCTACAGTCATTTTGGTTAGTTGTACATGCTATTTATCAGCAGATATTGTGGGATATGGACCATCGTCAAACTCAGTCATGTCCACAACTGATGTCAGTATAGAAGACACTTTCTCATTGGAGTTTATCATCACTAGAGGATAAGTATAAGATTGCTACATTACTGTGTGTATCCAATTTATTTCACGAAACAAGTAAGGTTTCAAGAAATTCCACAGCGCTTTCTGTGATATGACATCAATATTGACACTAATATTGGCAAACATAAACTTTGACCGCAATCACTATGATATATCTTTGACGATTTCCAATGTATGTCTTGCAGAATACAAAACATCGTTGACAACACCAGGTCCTGTGCAAACAGTTCGGGCAACAGGCCACACTTCAGCAAAGGTCAAAACACAATACCCAGGTAATGTACCTAGGTAATGTACCCAGGTAACGTACCCAGGTAATGTACCCAGGTAATGTACCCAGGTAATGGTCCGTTTCCCAAAGCCTTTGTGATAGATCATATTTGCTAATACAAAGGTTGATAGTGTCAACATGACACTCGAACAATCAGCAATAGTCCTCCTTGGTGCCTAAACATTCAGTTACTGTACGTACTTCGTTGTCTTTGTGACCAACGGAATACAATATTATATTAAGGGTAAGAACAACTCCTCAAATGTCTGCCACATATTGCTCACATGTTCACACATGTTCTTGTTTGCAGATTATCTCCTGGTCGCTGACCAAAGCGGGAAGGGTTATCGCCTGAATCCGAACAATCACAGAGTGAGAAAGTTTTACTGGAGACCGCATTGTAACTACTGGTCAACAGAGTATGACAGGAAGCTGGTATACTGGATGTGCGACGAGGGAGACATGGGTGTAGGGAAACTGATTTCAAATAGAATTGTTTACCAGAAGACGGTACCAACACCAGGTAATAATTGGGAATGTCACCAATGGTAAACTTTACGCGTCACTGACGTGTTTCCTATGTTAAAAACAATACGGAAAGAGGGAATAACTCAATTACCTTTAATACATTGCTTTCATTTGATTGTGTGGCTGTACGTTGATTGTTCAATCATTTACAGGCTATATGAGACCTCAAACTACATTTGATTGTGTGGCTGTACGTTGATTGTTCAATTATTTACAGGTTTTATGAGACCTCAAACTACATTTGATTGTATGGCTGTACGTTGATTGTTCAATTATTTACAGGCTTTATGAGACCTAAAACTACATTTGTTTTTGGGTGTACGTTGATTGTTCAATTATTTACAAGCTATATGAGACCTCAAACTACATTTGATTGTGTGGCTGTACGTTGATTGTTCACTTATTTACAGGCTATATGAGACCTAAAAACTACATTTGATTGTGTGGCTGTACGTTGATTGTTCAATTATTTACAGGCTATATGAGACCTAAAACTACATTTGATTGTGTGGCTGTACGTTGATTGTTCACTTATTTACAGGCTATATGAGACCTAAAACTACATTTGCATGTTTTATTTGGATGTATTTATGACAAATGTTGAAAAAAAGTTTGTTTTCATTTGGGTTTTTTAGAGTCACAAGACTCTGTAGTTCCCCTGAGGTATGAAGACATCATTGTGTTACGCTTCAACTTAATTAGGGTGATAAATACCAAAATTAAGATCTTGTGGTACAATCGATGCTTTGAAAAAAAAATGAACTCATTTTGTAACGTCTGAGGCAGCAAAGTTAAGTGACATTCGTCATTCCTTGAATACCCTTGAATTGTCTTCTGGCCAATATCACTCACGAAGTACATGTGGTTCTTGAGATAATAATTAGTGAACTTTTTGTAAAATATGTTTTTTGAATAAGTTTAGCCATACTAAATAATTACAGTAGAAAATGGTTTCTATATATATACACGTTGAAATTAGTTAAGAAACACCCGCATATTCTCAGACTGAGCAACTTTAGTGAACAGGTGCATGAAATGTGTAAAGGATTTAGGTACCAAATAAATTATTTAGTGAAAAGAAAGGGTTGAGAAGAAACATAGTCAAGATTACCATGAAATAATGTGCTTTTGGGGGGAGATGTTATAGATTTGGAAAATGACTTAATTTCATCAAAAAATGTGCGAATGTCACTTTTGTTGCACAGACTTTACTGTCAGTATCATGCACACATCTGGTTCACGGAATGTAACAATAATGTCTTGCAAGACCAAATATTAACTTTCCATCAGTGTCTTGTGTAACCTCCCTGAACCCGAACAACTGCTTCAAGACGCCCCCTAATTCTTTGGATCAATCTCTGGATTTGATTCTGAGGAATTCTGTTTCATTCCTCATGCAAAGCAGCAGTCAGTTCATTGAGTGTATGGACAGTGGGTCTCTTTGTCGAACACGACGGCCTATAATGTCCGACAGATGCTCAATGGGATTGAAATCTGAACTCATGGATGGCCATGGAACGGTCTCAACAGCATTCTGTTGCAAACTCCGAGTGACAGCACGTGCTCTGAGAGGCCTGGCATTGTCATCCATTAAGATGGGTCTTGTGGCTAGATGATGATTATCAAAATGGGGGACAACAGCTCTCTCAAGCATCTCCTGTTGATAACGAGGCCCATTAAGGCTACCACGAATGGTGATGAGGTCTTGCAACCCAAGGAAATGCACCATGACTGACCTTCCCCCCGAAGGGAACCGTCTCCTGGATATTGCTGGGAACCATGGCTGTACGACATCCACCACATGCAAATAAGAACCGACTCTCATCTGGAGGAAACAGTTTAATACGTATGTTTGGTCTTCTGACACTGTATCCTGCTGCTTTCAGCCGATTTCTGACTGTCCTGAAGGAAAAGGCTCTCCCTGGTAACGACTGTTGCTTTAAAGATTTGCATGAGTCCCATGGACGGAGCCTAACAAGTCTCAACAATGCTCTATCCTCCCTTATTGTTCCTACGGGATCTGCAAGGTCTTGGACGATCTTTCACATTGTGTTTGTTCAAGAGTCTTGCCATGACGGAATTGATTGATTGATCATTTAAAGTTTTATAGGTGTTCGGGCAACTATGCCCATTTAATTTACACCTTGCCCATAATAAAGGTTTGTTAAGTACCTAAATATTTATAAACTAGTAAAACTGCCTCACGCTTTAATATATGCGAGAAAGACATTCTGATCATGAACGTCATGGCGAACATGGCGAACAATATAATGAGAGTCAATATTGAGAACTGTTAGAGGCTAAACCATTGCCTTACGCTGATTGACATACTTTTTTGAAATGATAGAAGGATTGCGCCCAAGTTGACGTCCGATTTGTCTGAGGGACATTCCTGCATTTCTCATGCCAATAATTTGCACCTTGTAGAAGTGCCATGACATTTAGGTTACTGAATACAGAATACAAACTGAAAGGAAAGAGTGTGACATGTCATGATTCCAAACTTGATTTCAACAATGTTGTCGGTTTGACATTGCCCGTGCATTGCTCGTCGTTAGACGTGCATTACATGTCTCCACACAAAGTCCTGCTGTACAGCAAGATGCGATATGTCACAATGATCAATCAGTAAAATGCTGTTTTCTTAATTCACTGAATTATAGGTCTATGAATTAGGTGTTGCTTGATTAATTTCCATGTGTATAGATAAATTTGTTGCTATAGAAGATTGGACAAGTTGGACATATTGAGCAACAGTGCCATTGCATGTGTTTGTTAGCAGATGGCATTCAACAAAGTGTGTTCATATCTCCACACGTAAAAACGACGATGTTCTAGATATATCTTCCTATATGTACATCTCAGGTCAACTTACTTTGCGTTGGTTTGTCGTGGACTCTTCCTTTGGAGCAATATTTGCATCAGACTTTACCAGGAGGTGCAAGATATACAGGATCAGTTGGAAGCGACAGAAATTTGGGAAGGTATCTCTTCTCGGGTCATCTAAGAAAAAGCATGAACGTAGTACAGCAGACAAGCAAAAAAGGTACTGTGATTCCTTTTCTATTTGTTTTCTAATTTCTAATTAAACCTTTCTGTTTTACTTATACAACATGACACTTTTAAAAGCAGCAAGATCCGTTCTACAATTAAATATTAAATACATATAGTAAAGACACGATGCTGCTGTTAAAGCAGCTCATGAAAATGGGGATGGTTTAATGTTGTGCCCAAATTTGAACTGCGAAATAATCCACAAACATCACATTAAAATGTAATGATTTGAAAACAAAATATCTTCATAGTAAGGAGAAACATTCATGACAAAGTTCATCTTCTTCAGTCTGGCAATTTCACAAGTGAACACGTTTACACAGTTTCACAATTGGAAAATGAATGCTTTGTTGCATCCCATTGCATTAAATGAGCACAACAATGGCCGATTAATGGCTTAGATAGATTGTTCAATAGTGCTGTCGGTTTTGTTTCTCTTGTACAAATTAAGGTGCCATCATTGGTTGAAACAAGCATGTGAAGTTAAAGCTTTTTGGCCAAGTGGTTTCCGAGGAATCAATATGTACAGTGCGAGGAAATGTATTAAGTCTATCTATGAGCATGGTCAATGTGCGAAAGTCAATATTAAACATATATCGAAATTGGGAATAGATGGGTTGAGTCCCGCTTCTAGCTACGCATACGCCAAATGTCATTACAGTTTGAAAGAAATGGCTGATTAATGGCCATTCATAGCTTTTCCGTGATGATTGTCTCATAAATGAATTGGATGGTGAACATTGACCGAAACAATATGTCAAAATGTCCCCTTCATTGGTTCAGAGTTCTTTGTGTGAAAAGACCTTTATGACGGCCGACGGACAAAGATGACAAACACAAAATAGAATCACTCTGGTCGAAATGCATTCTCTCAAACAGTCTGGACGGGTAACCAAGAATATCTGCCATGGTTGACAATCGTTTCGCAAATTCGTTATATATACGTAATTTAAACATGCCATTTAAAATTATCGCTGATTCCACACACAGAGTTTTTATAAAGCAACTAAAGTACTGTGGGAAATGCTAGAACACTGCTTTTCTGACTTCATTTAATAAATACGAGTCATAGGACTATAAAAAGAGCATATATCAAAATAACGCAAACTGACCTAATCTAGCCTGTCCTAACTGACACTGTGATTACCCTTAAAATGTACTTTTACAGGTAAAATGATGATAAAATTAGAAAATATTCGTGTATTGTCATGCATGTATGAAATGGCCTATAACCTGAGGTAATTACCTAACACCTGTTCCGAGGTGATGACCTCACACCCTCCCGTGCATTCTCCCAGGTGCAAATGTCACCAAGTTGGGGGTGGTCTCAAAATATTGCTGTTATTGTACTTCATTGACATGTACGTTGATGGGGTAACAATTTAGGATATGTACTGCATTATATTTGCTTGGAAACATGATGGAATAGTTAAGAGCAATAAAACGGGATGAGTATTGGAAGGTTGCGGTTTTGGAATCAAGAAGTATTTGTTGTTCTACAGATGGTTTCTTGAGGTAGTATTTATCTCCGCTAATGACGTACATGCATCTGTATTTTTTATTGTTGTGTTATGTCTTGCTACGAACCCTTTACACTTAGCCAAGATAGGCACAGCAGGGTTGAGCCGACAATGTCTGACTGGCGTACGTAAGACAACGTGACCGTGTTGTGCCGCCAGCACAGACTTGACTGGTTTCTTATTCAGCCGAATTTGCTCCATGAGTTGAACATTCGTTTCATATGGTCTAAAGTCGACAATGTCATATATATATTCATGTAGGTCGCCTTCAGACTACTCATGGTTTGGGCGACAGTATCTAATTCCCGGACGTTATAATAACTAGCGGTATCAATGACAATGACACTGACGTTGTTTGAAATGGGCAATAGCTGAAGTTCCATCCAGTCTATGAACACATCACCTCCTATAATTTCCTCATGAAAATCACCAGTTTTCTTTTTCGCCTCGCAACCAAGCGCACATCCATCAATAAGCCCCATATCATGGGTTGCGGCGTGCAAAGCAATGATACAATTACCTTTACCTGATGGTACCATGGGTGCTTTTTGTCCATCTGCCGATAGCCACATGTAGTCAGTGGAATGATTCACCAAGGTAAATTATTAGGATGAAAACCCCATAGCTTGGGCAGTTCTGTAATTCACCCTATCTAAATTAATAAATGGTTTCCCTCTAATGTGTATAGAACTTGTATACATTTCCTAGTAGAGACTCCATGTCGTGTACCGTCTATGGATTTGCAAGTGTAATGTAACATGCATCATGGGAGCAATGTTAACAAAACAAACGCAGCGTCATTTTGTCATTTTAGAAGAAGCACATGTAGAATTTTCTCAAAATGATTTTGTATGTTGATTCGATTATAACGGAGTCACGTGCGCATATTTCTATAGTCCGATTCAGACTGCCATCATTGGACTCAGAACTTCTTGTTTTCATTCGAATTTGTCTCCTGTAAACTTGTCGATAGGACTCCTTGTGACTGAAATACTTCAAACCACAGGTAGGTCGATCGGTATTTACTCGATATTTCAATAACAACAGTCTGTGAAAAATTGCATCCTTTTTTAACAGGCAAAAATCAGTTTTCTAGCCTTTTCGACATTCCTTTATTTCAGGTTTGTTGTCATCATGTATTGATAATAATCCATGTCCCGTCATCAGTCCCGTCATGACCATATTCCAAGCTTGATGTACAACGATTGCTGAATTTCATCGTTTCTAAACCTCCGTTAGATCCTATAATGCCCGATAATTGTTTTCTAGCGTCATGATTGATGCTGGTGTTATCTTTATACAAGGAAACATCAGCTTTTGCTGTTTGAAAACAGGCCTGTTCTGAAGACGTGGTTGCTGCGATGGCATTGATTCTAAGTAAGATATTTACGAAAGCATGCCTTTCCTGCATGACGGCATTTGTAACTGTCAACTGACTCGCTATGAAGTGGGAGGTCAGGGTTGGATTCACTATCACATTCAGTCAATAATAGCACAGAGTTGAAGAATATTAGTCTCAGACCTACTTGAATACCACCAGGCGGTATACTGGGTAGTTGATAACCAGTGTGTTACCAGAAGTACTAATACACCCCGATCTGCGAACATAATCCCTACCCCCATACTTCTACATAATGACCATCTGTGTATATAGACACATCAGATTACCACAATTGGTGTCTTAGTCTTGCTCTTAATGACGTTGAAGCGCAGTACTCGCTGACTGCATCGTGTTTATATGTTACACAGAGCCGAGACATGTGGTAACGGTATACAGACCACGTGCCGCTTATGGATGCAGCACATAAATATGTGTATAAAGAACTTCGCTCATGGACATCATAGGAATGAAGCTATGGTCATTAGAGCATATGACGTATGGGTATTTGAACGTGAAATATATACATCACTATGGTCAAAGTGTGTCTATATCTTTTTGGGTTAACATGAAATGGGTTATATAAATGGAGACTATTTATGAAAAATATGAAGTCTGTTTTAAAGACACCTATAATGGCTGGTCTGTTGTTATCACTGACTTTCAGTGATTCATTCAAATAATTTTCACCGCTGTTTTGCTTTTTACCCCGAATGGATTTTTTTTCGTCCGATAAGCGAGCGGGTATTCTCCGACCATGACGGTTTGAATCATATATTGTTGACATGTAAATGATGTGGAGTCATCTCCTCAGTGTACATAAGTATGTGCTGACACTATTGTGAAACTCTGTCTACATGTTAGGACAGTGTTGTAGCTTTTGCTATGTATTCTGTTGTATAATGTTTACATTACCAAGGCAAGACACCGGGTTTGTGGAAATGAGGGTATGGTTTATTTTTGGAGCATAAGTCTTAGTTGTTCCATATGAACTGTTAACCTCTGCACAATGATATTTATCATTTTTAAAATTTGAGATCTTGTTCTTAAAATCTACAGGTAGGGCTCGCTTCCGGAACACAGCTCAAAGTTCAACATTCTTTTTATACCATGTTGTGTTTACTTCAGGCAATTGCTGAACTGGTGCCTTGTCCACAGTTTGTGTTCACTGCCAAATGACCATTTCAGTACTTCTCAAATGTGAGATCAGTTATCTTAAACCTTCACATCGTCAGGAGTGGTCTTACGTTTAAAAGGGATTAGATTTGATTCAATAGTACAGCTTTAAAAAAATATGTTACTTTTGGACGAGTTGCATGTATCAAACAACAGTGCATTTTGCGCATGCATCCAACTAACTTCACCTTCCCTTTCTTTTTATATGAGTAAGGGTGCTTATTAACATGCTGAAAGCTACTGTCTAAAATGTAAAACTGTTTTGATGATGTTGCTGTAGAACTTCCAAACTTCTATATTAAAATCATAATTATACTGATGCCTGTTTGCCGTTAGAATGTGACGCAGCCTCATTTGCTTTCTCATAGAGTTAGAGAGTTCCGAATTGTCGACACCGTGTCGGCACCTGGTTGATAAAGAAGGATTGTAAAACGCAGAATCCATTTTTTCAAAAGGAAATACGATGCGATTGACGTGAATTAATTCAACACCCGATAAATGTTCAATTCTGGCACAAAATAAGACCGCCTCCGTGGTCTAGTGGTAGAGCGTCCGCACAAAGAGCGGAAGGTCCGGGGTTCGATCCCCGACCGCGTCATACCAAAAGACGTTAAAAGATGGTACTTGTTGTTACCCTGTCTGGCGCTCGGCATTAAGGGGCTAAAACAAGGACTGGTCGGCTCGGAGTCAGTATACTGTGTCTGAGTGGGGTATTCATGTTAAACTGCGGCATGGTATCTCAGTGAGCTAGCACTATAAATCGACATCAGTCCGGACTAGTACAAGTAGCCACACAAACACACACACGTACATGCACGTCGCTATATAAGTGCAATAATCTTGGACGCGACGTTAAACTCCATTTCACCTCACCTCACCTCACAAATTAAAACGCCCCCATTTTATGAAAGCTCTCATAAATATCACATATATAATCACGTATATAAACATCACCCACGAAGAGTCTATCTCATGTTATCGTGACATTTTCCATGTTCAGGCACCTCTACTGGGGAGACGTACATCTACATAGGATCAACTACGATGGAAGTGGAAAGAAGTCTTTCATGAAGATCCGTATAGTTCATTTTGCCATCGACTTCAGAGGTGTGTACAAAGTAAAAAAACTGCCACAGGCATGTAGAGTACCTGTATGTATACACGTGTATTGAACCTCCTGGTACCATGACACAATGGGTCTGTTGGCTTGTGCACAAGATGACCTGAGCAAGTAACTTACAACGTTTACAGTTAACAGTTTTATCTCTACGACGATAACGTATTTGATATTGCCAATGGTTTTTAATCCAATGTTTGTATTAGTCATTAAGTACAATGTCTTCCTCTAACTTACTCCCGCTGCATCTACGTTTTCTGATATAACTACATGAACATCCCTCCCCATCACGTTCCGTGTGTTTATAGGTATTAAGCCGCCTTCCCCGTTCCTCTAAGCAGTATATGGTTTACACCTATAACCCTATACTCACACTTATGTTGCCACATGCTGTATTACAATTGCTAATTATATATAACGCGGATCCTTCAGATGATCAAGTGAACGACTGTACCTGGAGGACTGATAAGATAAATAACCGCTAGACATTATTAATGCTTTAAAGATCAAAAGAAAGTATACATGGATAAACATGGACTGTTCATTTAGTGGAAACTGAGAAAATGTAAAACACATTTCTTCTGAAATGTATTTTGAAGTCACAAAGGCAGCTGTGTGGACTGTGAGTTGAATTAACAAAAAACATTCCAAACAGCAAACTGGTCGCCTCTAATGACGCTCAATAGAGTGTTCGGATCCTACTCTACCGCGAGTCCCATGTCCCGATAGATGACCTAAATCCATATTTCTGTTGTACAGCAAACCACAATCCTATCATGTTCGGATGCAAAAAGTCCCAGTTCACCACAATGGAGCTGTCTCAGAAGCCCACTGTCCTGACGCAGATAGTCATGCGTGGTGTGAATTGCGAGAGACTCTTTGTTATTGCGGGGTCTGCCTACTTCAGAAATCATAATCAAAGGTAAGTGTTTTCAGGCGTCACATTTGTGTAGGTATTCACCCTCAACTATGTTTGTTGATCGCGCTCAGCAATAGTCCAGCTATATGACGAAGGTCCGTAAATACTAGTAATCGAGTCTGGACCAGACAATCCAGTGATAGACATCACGGGCATCGATCTACTAAATTGGGATACGCTGACATGCATCAACCCTGGGTTATGAACACTGTGGAGATGATCAGATGTCACGCTATTGACTCTTGCCTTTTTTCAATCATTTACGCAATGATATTTAGAACAGTTTTTCATTTACAAAAAACTTTATTTCAACTAAATTCAAATTGATGAAAGATGGATATTCAGTTTAGTTGTGTATATCTTTAGCTCACCTGACAAAAATTGAAGAGACCTTTACTCAATCCTTTTGTCCGTCTTCCGCGGTAAACAGTTTGTTCTTAGAATCAATCAGACGAATAAAACTGCAACTTGAGATGTTTGCTCCTACCAGTAATTCCAACCCAGTTTGCAGAATTTGTTAGATTGGACCTTGACCATACTGAAAGCAGAAACTGTTTATTACTCAGAAATGTTCAAAAAATGACATTTGATTCGTGAGTGGTTGGGATCAACACATATGTTCAGTTTTTTTAGATATGTTGATTTTGTCTTAAAATGTATTTCCTGTAAACTTCACTTGTTTGTTCACACCAAAGATGTTCGACACGGTCATAACTTTGTTCAAACTTTGTTTGTTCAAAAAACAATTTGGTCGATGTGTAGTAAGTAGATTTACGCGGTATTTGAAAGTTTAACCATGATTTGATGCTTGACTTTGGCCATACTGACACTTGAAAAATCTTATGACTATTTGGGCCATTTATTACAGAACAAAAAGAAATGTCATAGTTCTTATTATGGGATTCAACACATTTTTTCTTTTGTTTGCAATATTTGATATTTTTACAATTGTTTTGACCATTGTTTCTTTCAAATTGCATACTTGGTTGTGTCTGAAAATGCCAGTGTACTCAACTTGTTCATGTTTATTTCTCCCTGTGATGACATCATATATTGTCCAAGTTGTAAGAATTAAGTGTTTACTCCTTTAAATACTACCAACATAAAATAAGGGAACTGATGAGATAGTGGTGAAGGTTATAAATGATCGTCAATGTAATTTTCTTTGTTTATAATAACACAAAACTGCCTGTTCGCATCTGTATTAGTGACGCTTGGTGTGCTTGGTGTGCTTGGTATGCTTGGTATGCTTGTCACATGCAAGTACGCTGGTCCAAGGTAATCACAACTTCAGCACTAGTGCTGCGTCACACGCAGTAGCAATACAGCTTCTATATTAAAGTAACCTCATATAGCATAGTTAAGCAACATTCTATCATTTGATATCCAACTCATTTATGTTCTAAACGTGGTATTTCCATTTAAAGCTTATACTGAGTTACGTGTGTTTACATTTGGTACTTCCGCGCATGCGCAACACATGCTACTTCCGTTTGTGAATCAAGCCTTCTTTTAGTTACATATATAGACATTCGCTACTTCCGCTCATGCGCAGCAGTAATGTTGTTCGCCATCCTGTATGCTTTGTTCAGCCGAGAAGATATTTACGACTAATCTCGCATCATCGCCATTGTCAGTTGCATCCCGGAGATGCATGCCCAGTATGGCAACCAACTGCAACTAGGAGTATCATCGCAGGTTTTCCGCTAAGGCAGTAGTCCTGCTTGAGCAACAGAACTGGGCAGTGGATTGGAGTAAGGTGGACACAAACCTTTACAGAATATCACCAAAGAATATCACCAAACAAAAGCTTCTCAGTGTTCTGGGACACCTAAACTTTGCAATGCAAATCATTCGTCCAAGACGCTCCTTTGTCAGCTACCTTCTCAAACCAGCCCATTCTGTGCCCGAACTACATCATCATATCTCTCTGACCAAGAAATATCGTGTTGACCTAAACATGGAGAACTTTCCGCAGCCAATGGAATTGAAAATCCTTTTTCTTGAAAGACAGGATATCTGCTCTTCAGTTTCAGCTGTTCACTGATGCTGTTGCCTCTGTCGGCTGTTGTGCCCACTTTCAAGGGAAATGGTGTGCAGACAGGTGGCCACAACAGCTGTTCAACCTAACAGGAGGGGACATGTCAATGGCTTTATTGGAACTGTACCCCATTGTCATGGCATCATCATCGTGGGGTCACCTGTGGATTTCGAGCAGCATCTGTTTAATGTACATGTGCCAGGTCGAGACCACCTTACAGCAGATGCGTTGTACCGTTTACAGATACAGAAGTTCCGTTAGCTAGCTTCAAAGGCTCAACCTTGTGTTTAGAGACTATCATGCGGTCTGTAAAGAAGATATCTAGCGCAAAAAAAACCAAACAAAATACGCCTTCCAGTAACAATTATGGTGTTACAAAAATTAGTACTGACCTTGAACAATGGCATGTTTTCGCTATACATGGACATCATACTCAAAGCAGCCTTTTGTACAGCTTTCTGTGCCATTGTACGTCGTAGGGAGTTGACATACAATCAGTTTGATCCTAGAGTGAATCTGTCTGATGCGTCTGTTCAATTTGCGGTTGACTACACCAAGTTCGAACAAACACTCAAAACCTCAACATCAGACAACTACCGGAGGGGTGTGACCCTCACTGTACATACAGTAAAACATATGTGCTTGTTGCCCTATTGTGCAATGCGTGGTCATATATCACAACGAATAGAGAGTGAAGCTCATCCTCAAGACACATTGTTTGTCATGCTGGAAGGTACAGCTTTTTCTAAACTTGTATTTGTTAATAGCCTGAAGTCCACACTTACCACAACCAGACTGGATCATGAACAGTTTAACAGCCACTCATACTATAGCTCACGCTCAAAATGTCATGTGTTGCATGCCGAGTGGAGAGTCATGTGTATGTTAGCAGATACACTGTAAGTCACTATTTGTGCACGCTGGAATAACAGCATTTGTTCTCAATGTTTGTTCATTGTAATTTTTTCATAACCATCTACTTCATGTTTGGGTTATTTTTAGTTAATAAAGCAATTATTTCTGCATGCTGGGGTCAGTAATGACTGATGCTCGGTCAAGCAGCTTCTCACTCCGATGATGCTTACTCACTGTACATGCGGCACTATATGCGGGTAGTTGCTCCCAATGCTTGGACATGTAATATAATGTCTTGTTAAGGTTGATGTTTAAACGCAGGTTTCATTTTTATAGTTATAGTGGTAGTTAGTATTAACATCAAACGTGAATGAAACTCTTGTATGCATGTGCAATGGTATACTGTAATTCTAATGAATAGTTTGTCAGTTGTCCTGTGTTTGTTAATGTTATTATAAATGTCTGTAAAAATATTTCAGGCGTGGAGATCAATATCTAGTGTCTCCACCATACTTGGCGATACATACACCTTGATGTTGATTAACTTGCATATGGTTGCCCTTGGTACTGCCCGGCACTACGCCTTGCGTACACTCACCTCACAGATGCTCTATTGGCGACATGTCAGGGGACTTAGCAGGCCAGTCCACTATCCGTATATCTTCCAGTCGGGGTTAATCGGTGACGACCTGGGCACGTTGTGATCTGGCATTGTCATGTTGCAGTTCCAAATTTCTGCCGATAAATCGAGCAAATGCAGTAAGACAGGACGCAAAGTCATGTCAGCATGTCACTGGCTAGTCAAATTTCACAATAACCAAATCAGTAGCCTGTCATGTGTGATACCACTCCACACCATAATGCTATCAGGGGCGGTCAGGTAGCCCTGTGGTTAAAGCGCTCGCTCGTCATGCCGAAGACCCGGGTTCGAATCCCGACATGGGTACAATGTGTAAAGCCCATTTCTAGTGTCCCCCTCCGTGATGTTGCTGGAATATTGCTAAAAGCGGCGTAAAACCATACTCACTCACCCATAACGCTACCGCTCTTATACCGATCATGGTCAAGAATTGCTGCCGTGGCATACCACACGCCGCTACGTCGCCAACAGCGTTTTCTGCCATCTGTGAATCGGAGGCAAAACCTTATTTCGTCTGTATGATGGTGTCATGCCATTGACGCACAGCCCGTCCCCGGTGTTGCCCAGCCCACCCCAATCTTTGCCGCCTATGGTTCGCTGTTGCGCTTTGCGTTTTTAACGGTAGATGTTAAAATTCACTTCCTGTTATTCAACTGAACTGTCTATTGACAACAGGAGTAGATTTGAATCTATTGCATAGTGCAATTAGTGTAGTGAGATGATCTTATCTTGGTGTCACTTTTATGCTTTCCACGTCCTGGTCTCATTGCAAACCCACCCACAGACGAGAAAATACATTTTTTATTTGCCAAACATTCGGCCAAATTGGGATATTGACTTCCCCCCTCTATCGTACCCACAAATCCACATTTTATCTATTCATAGAAATACCGTCTCATAGGCATTTCAAACATGTGCTTAAATAGCTCAATTGCATTTGTGAAAGGGGCCAACAAGTTGACTTCTGTGCGCACGTGGTGAAATTTTATTCTGATTAGATGTTGCGTTCAAATGTACACCTCAACAATAGCTGCATTCAGTACTTTAGTTCCCTTATGTCTTGTCGACAACTTGTGTTCAGTGGCTGCCTTTGTTGTCATTTTGAACTGCAAATTGTTATGAAGTGTCGGCGAATCAGTTGTACTGAATTTCATTTTTTTAAACAATTACTAAATTTAAACAAATACAATATCAATGCTAGGTATGAACAGTACATTTGTACAGATTAGATTGACATTGACATTGACATCACGGGGAATCCTAGCCAAGAGGATAACTTGGCCTGTGAGGTTTTCGCTGATCTGGACATGAACCCTGGTACCGAAATCCATGTATGCTTCTTCTCTTACTCAGAGGTCTTACTCTTGTACGAGACGAGAAGAAGAGAGAAGTGAAATGGAGGAAACAGATACCAATAGATGATATTATCTTCGTAACTCCCCTCTGCTGACGATGCGGCCAGTACCAGCACACAACTACTAGCCTGGCAACATGTCTTATGTATTTTTAAAATGGTGAGAGACTTCTGTACAGTTTAGAGTTAAGAAGCAGAAACGATTGGGGTCAGCCTCAGTGATGTGAGAAAAGTTTTCATTTTTAAAATTGTTTTAATGCATTTTTCTCGTTTTGGGTGCTTGTGGTAAGAGTGGGCTCAGGGGATCAGGTGGTCAGGCCCGGCGGATCAGGTGGTCAGGCCCGGCGGATCAGGTGGTCAGCGGATCAGGTGGTCAGGCCCGGCGGATCAGGTGGTCAGGGGATCAGGTGGTCAGGCCCGGCGGATCAGATGGTCAGGGGATCAGGTGGTCAGGCCCGGCGGATCAGGTGGTCAGCGGATCAGGTGGTCAGGGCCGGCGGATCAGGTGGTCAGGCCCGGCGGATCAGGTGGTCAGGGCCGGCGGATCAGGTGGTCAGGCCCGGCGGATCAGGTGGTCAGGGGATCAGGTGGTCAGGCCCGGCGGATCAGGTGGTCAGGGGATCAGGTGGTCAGGCCCGGCGGATCAGGTGACCCGGCGATTATAAGTGTATATTAGAGGCCCGCCGTCTATTCTGCTAAGGCTGACTACCTTATACTCGCTACCTTACCACATGCAACCATTTCTGAATACCTCGATGTGTTGGTTATTGATGCAATGGGTCAAAGTTTACCCTGTATATTACAATGTACTGAATGGAAATAAATATATCATACCATTATTTTTTCTAAGTGTATTTTCTAGGGGCTCTTTCTCCTTTACCTTCATCCAATTCTGTGTCAGGCCCTTTGCCGGGGTCGTTGCCATTCATCGTTATCTTGATTGTCACCAGTTATTTTAACAGTTTGACCGGATGTTTCTATGCTTTTGTTCAGAGTCGACTCTATATCAGACTATGTTCCGTCTTACAGATTAAGAACAGCGCAAAAATTACTGTCAGTGTCACCTGTGTCATGATTGTCCTTCATAGGTAACGTCGTTGGTGTTGATCCCAACATGTCTTTGAAATAACTATATTTCGACCCTTTTACACTGTGACTCTTCTTCTAGCGTTTTACAGTATTTAACTGTCCTGTCGTAACCCAGGTCAACTCTCGATGGTTTCAAGTGTCAATAGATAAAAAGTTGATTGGGTTTAATGACCTCACGGTCACCTTCACTATTTCACTCAGCCCATAGACCAAGAAGTGCCGTTGTTTCGTCATCACTCCAGCAGGAGCTACTGGCTGTAGTCTGTCCCCGGGGACCAACAAGTACATGTGTGTGCTACGAAGCTGGGAACATGGCTCAATGGGCAGGAACCAACAAGTATATGTGTTTGCTACGAAGCTGGGAACATGGCTCAATGGGCAGGAACCAACAAGTATATGTGTGTGCTACGAAGCTGGGAACATGGCACAATGGGCAGTAACCAACAAGTATATGTGTGTGCAACGAAGCTGGGAACATGGCTCAAAGGGCAGGAACCAACAAGTATATGTGTGTGTGCTACGAAGCTGGGAACATGGCTCAATGGGCAGGAACCAACAAGTATATGTGTGTGCTACGAAGCTGGGAACATGGATCAATGGGCAGGAACCAACAAGTATATGTGTGTGCTACGAAGCTGGGAACATGGATCAATGGGCAGGAACCAACAAGTATATGTGTGTGCTACGAAGCTGGGAACATGGATCAATGGGTAGGAACCAACAAGTATATGTGTGTGCTACGAAGCTGGGAACATGGCTCAATGGGCAGGAACCAACAAGTATATGTGTGTGTGCTACGAAGCTGGGAACATGGCTCAATGGGCAGGAACCAACAAGTATATGTGTGTGCTACGAAGCTGGGAACATGGCTCAATGGGCAGGAACCAACAAGTATATGTGTGTGCTACGAAGCTGGGAACATGGATCAATGGGCAGGAACCAACAAGTATATGTGTGTGCTACGAAGCTGGGAACATGGATCAATGGGTAGGAACCAACAAGTATATGTGTGTGCTACGAAGCTGGGAACATGGCACAATGGGCAGGAACCAACAAGTATATGTGTGTGCTACGAAGCTGGGAACATGGCTCACTGGGCAGGAACCAACAAGTATATGTGTGTGCTACGAAGCTGGGAACATGGCTCAATGGGCAGGAACCAACAAGTATATGTGTGTGTGTGCTACGAAGCTGGGAACATGGCTCAATGGACAGGAACCAACAAGTATATGTGTGTATGCTACGAAGCTGGGAACATGGATCAATGGGCAGGAACCAACAAGTATATGTGTGTGCTACGAAGCTTGGAACATTGATCAATGGGCAGGTTCGGTGACTTTGTTGTGTGACTGCATCATCAAAACATCCTTATATCGACCACTGGTTCATTTGATTATTGCGGTAGTAAAACAAAGAAACAAACAAACAAACAAAACGTAATGTTTTACACTGATGGCACAAAATACAGTCAAGTCCCGTTTATCCGACATGGATGGTTGCATATGTTTATGTCGGATTAACGAGTATGTCGGATAAGCGTAATTAAGTCGCATCAACGTTCATGATCGAAAATCGGACAACTACACGATATCTTACGCTATATATAGTTTGTAATAAAATGATGAAAACCGAAATATTCAAATTATGTTATATTGTTATTGTTTTCTAATCATGCAACCGCTGAAGCTTTACACAGGGTATTCCGAACTACTGTTACGGGCTGTATGACGGATTCAGAATACTTTCGAAATTGTAGTCTGGAACGGAAGTCGTCACCTAGTGCCGAAAGCTGATTTCTTATTGGCTAAATGTCGTTTTCCTGCTTGTCATAACACTGGTCCGTCAAAGTTCGCGAAAGGTCGTTTGGATGTGACCTGTAATGGGGTGTCCTCGGCGATAGCGAGCACTTGTATCTTATTTTAATGAGTTTGAGGTAAACTAAACATGGGATCAATCCTGCATTAATTGTTTATTGTTAAACAGGTTTATCTCCGCAGCCATTATAATATGCAGCCGACTCGCCTCGTATGAAAACACAGAGCTGTGTATTCGCGTGATGAGTGAGTGAGTGAGTTGGGTTTAACGGCGTGTCAGCTCCGTGTGGGAGGAAAGCGCGAAGTGATGCAGGTCTCAGACGTTTACCACTATGGTGCTGACAAACCTAGAAACATCATCGGGGCGAACCGGGATTCGAACCCACAATAATAGGTTTCTGGCGTACCCAAGGGATGCAATTCTGCACAGCGATTCGAGGCGCCTTAGACCACTGGGGCACCCGTGCCCCCTACTCGTGGGATGATGACCTGGTAGTACGCTGATCACCGTGTCGGACTAACGAGACAGATTGAGTGACTTCGGTACTTCGTTGCATATAAGATGTGTCGGAGCCGGAGTGCGAGTTGATCGGATTAACGGGTCTAAGTAGCCCTGGTTTAATGTGTTTCCGTCACTAGCGTCGGATATATATGTACGTATAGTACATGCATGTAAATACAATTACTTCAAGGTTCCGTTGTACGGTGTACCCAACAACCAACCAACCAACCAACAAACAAACTGATATCGTATTTCATAAAACAGAAAGTTGATTGTGTGTCACTGGGACAAACCTGCAACGTTATGCCTATCTTTGTTTTATCTCGTTCATAAACAAGGTTAACGCATATATATGATGTTGCTGCACTGATACAACATAGGATGTTTGGATAAAGATCCCGAATCGTTGCAAGAGGTTTCTCAATACGGCGGCTGGAGTGTTTGGGCGATAGCCCGATGACACAGTGGGGCCAGGCACACCGTGTTTCCAGAATGGTTATATACATTCGGTTATATACATTCGGTTATATACATTCGGTTATATACATTCCGTTATATACATTCGGTTATATACATTCGGTTATATACATTCGGTTATATACATTCGGTTATATACATTCCAAGTTAAACAAGGGCTTCCAGCTGTCGTCATTCACTTTGAAGAAGTTGACGACAATAAACTTAATGACGACTATAGAAATATTAAAATGATTCTACCCATTTCCATATTTGCACAACCGAATAGCCACCACATTAACAGCGCAAAAACTATCGCAACAAACTCGGTGTGCGTTCAAAATGTAAACTTAAAAATAGTTATTCACTTAATTCAGTGAAAAAGACTTTGCTGATGCCATTCAAATAATTGAACAATAAATGTTTCGTTCAGTATACATGTAGCGCTTGTTGCTTATGCAACATCTACATCCCCTGGACGCGTCACACTCAAGGCCGTTAAGGATGGCATGCGTCGTCACCCGGACTAGCATTTCCGTTGAAAGATGACACTTGTTGTTACCGTTCCTGGAGCTGGGGATTGAGGGGAAACTAAGCAAGGCTTGGTCGGTTCGGAATCAGTATAAAGTATTTCAATGAGGTTTCATGTTAAACTTCGGCATGGTATCGCAATAATCAGACATTATTAATCCGACTTAAGTCCGGAATAGTACACGCAGCCGCACACTCACGTGCATGCACATCACAAAAAGGAGCAATAATCTTGAACGCAACGTTAAACTCCCTCTCATGTTACCACAAACACGTCACGACAATTGATGCTGAGAGCTGTGCCCTGGTGGATTCACGCATGGTGAATTGGTCTTAAATGTGGGGCGGGGTGGGGTTTTCTTACGCGATAGAAACAAAAACCTTAGTTTTTCACAAATTATATGTGTACTCCTTTTAGCTGGATATGATGCCCTACAGTGAACCTCGTTAGCTCGGAACCCGCCTATCCGGACACCTCGCCTGCCGGATGATTACTGTTGGGAACATCAAATTAAAATCCGGACGATTTATCAGGAACGATAACGGGGTGTATACATTTGGCTCATTGATTTGTGATGTTTTATCACTGTTGGGATATTATTTTTATATGTTTAGGTCAGACCTTATTCACTCGCTGAATGACGCATTAACAAAACCACAACATGTATCAATGTCTCAAGTTATCCTTTATTGTACATTCTTTTCAAGGTCCTGTAAGACTGGCATTCGCCGCACAAGTGGTCAAAGCAGAACATCTGAAGGTTGGGCTTGCAGAGGTCGTCGCAGATCTCGCTGCAGAAATGGTTCTCTGTAGTTGTTGTTGTTGCAACTGTTGTTGTGGTGCGGCGGGGACGACGTGTTGTCGTTCGTCGAGGCCTTCGTGTGGTTGTGCGTGGTCGTCGAGTAGTAGTAGTAGTAGTTGGTGTGGTTTTCTGTGTCGTTGCCGAGTTCTTGTTGATTTTTTTCCATTTCGGAATCCGCTCGTTTCCGCTTCTTGTTATCATAATGTCTGCGCATGAGAAGAAGTGCTCCTGGATTGACCCACATCCGGTACAACACTTCTCCTTTCCTAGTACGCTTGTTTCACAGCCCCAGCTGTTTCCTGGAATTGCAAACAGATATTGTCACGTGGTGTTTTAGGATCTCAATATCAGCCTTACAATCCCTTCTCAAGACAAGTCGTTTCTTTCAAGTAAAACACCGTCAACCCCGTCCGTCCCAGCATATCATCAGGTTGACCCACGACTAGCATAGGATAGGGTATGATATCAATGGGATCCCCACCCTCCACCAGGACCATCACCATCACCAACCACTACCATCAACACCACCCACCACTACCACCCACCACCACGACCATCGCCCACAAACACCACCCACCACTACCACCTACCACAACGTCCACCAACACCACCCACCACTACCACCCACTACCACGACCATCGCCCACAAACACCACCCACCACTACCACCTACCACAACGTCCACAAACACCACCCACCACTACCACCTACCACAACGTCCACCAACACCACCCACCACTACCACCCACCACAACGACCACCACCATCACCAACCACTACCATCAACACCACCCACCACTACCACCCACCACAACGACCACCACCATCACCACGATCATAACCCTTTCGACACCATCCACCACCACCACCATCACCCACCACTACCACTCTCCAACACCATCCCCCACTACCACCCACCAAAATCACCCACCACCATCACCCACCACTACCACCCACCAACTCCAGCCACCACCATGACCATCACCATCACCACGACCATCACCCGCCACTACCACCCGATAACACCACCCACCACCATTACCCAATGAAGGGTTTGTAAGGTATAATAATGTAATAATAGTATTATATTTAGAGCGTTTAATGTGCTGGCAATGACGGAAACCTGGGTTCATGCCAGACATTGGAACGATATGTGCAGCCCATTCTGTCGTGATGTTACTAGACTACGCTACGAGCTGTGACAACGCTTCACCCTCGCTCGGACATTATTCCCGCTCCCCCAATGGACTTCAATATACATGTGTATGTAACGTAGCAGTACCTGTCACATATTTCCATCGAAGCACGCAGTTGTAGCAAGTCATCCAGTTTGGGATCTGGAGTCGAACCCGGAACGTGTCGGCATTCCAGTTGGGCAGTTGGAAGTATTCCTTGCCATTGTCTGCGTTGAGCAAGGGCTGGAAGCAGTCTTCAGTTTCGAGTGCCTTCGGATTATCTGACTGGCATACGTCAAAGAAGAATGAACCAAAGTGATTTGCTGTCAACACAACAGCTACGTCGATGACGTCACCACTAGCGTATTGAGCGACGATGTTCCCAGTGGAAAAATACCCCCCTCTTTCGTTGTCACGTGGTCTGGCTTGAGCGTAGTCGTCGCCGCAGACTCCACATTTGCCGTCGTTCTCATTGAACTGGACCTGAAATAACGGTTAAACAAGCTTGCATTGTCGATCCTGGTTGTTTCAAACATCGACACAACCATTACTAAGACCATGATGATTCGTCAGAACCGTTATTCAGTTCCAACTGAAATTTCGAAACTGTTGTATTTGACTGTTTTTCATTTTGACAACAGATATTCGTTTGATGTTTTTTTAGCTAAGGCTGCGCATTTGTTTCTTTTGTGCTAACATAATTCATAAAATATAATAGTCGGTCTCGCAATAAAAATTAGACTTGACGGCAGTTTGCATCCTAACTATGATAGTGGGGCGCCAAAATGCACGTTCTGTACCCCTCGAACACGTGCAATTGTTAGTATTTATTCTCTTCGTCTGTTAGCATAGTGTGTTGTTAAACAACGTTCTGGTTGGCCATATACCAGTACGTACGCCAAATCCTCCGCAGTAGTTTTCGTTGTCGTTGTAGTTGATGTGGAAGTAGTCAGTGCCGTTGTATCTCCAGGCTGAGGATCGACCAGGGGGTATGAGCATATAGCCATGGCCATGTACGTGTGTCGGCAGCAAGGAGACCAGGATCGCCGCCATAGCCAGTGTTAGCATTGTCGGATAGCCCATGGTGATATGCTGTGGAAGGAGAAATCATGGTTTGATTAACTCATGTTCACAAACAAACTTGAGCGCTTATTGAATGTATAGTTCACAGTAATCCGTCAACGTAAGACAGTAAATCCTGAGCCACGGATGATGCATGTAATTGCGGTACTGGGTAGGTTCCAGTTATATTCGGTTCTTACGACAAATTCCCTGACAGATGTTCTGACAGCCCCTGTCAGAGATTGAAGGTCAAAGGCATTGGACTAGAAGTGCTTATGGCTTTGTTAGGGGAGCTAGAAGCGGTTTTCTGTTTCAAAGATGTACTTTACTGGGCACGTGCCGTAAAATAGCAGTAGTAGCATCAAACCGTCATTGCTAATATCTTCTTCTTTTTGTATCGCAACAGGCATGGAACTGCCTGTTTCAAAGTTGTACTAAATTTGGTACGAATGTTCCTGAATCTGAAGTGATGTCATTCAAACGGAAGTGCTTCGTCTAATCCTAGCTGAAGTGACTGGACTAAGTTGTACTACATAAGACAACATTAGGATTCAAAGATGGATAGGAGCAGTAGGGTAGCCTAGTGGTTAACGCGTTCGCTCGTCACGCCGATGGCGCATGTTCGATACCCAGCATGGATACAAAGTGAGAAGTCTATATCTGGTGTTCCTGCCGCGATAATGCCAAGATATTACTAAAGGCGCCTGAACCCAACTCAGTCACGCAGACATGAATATGGAAATATACTGAGTAGGTCAGGTCTCCGCTGATTGGGTAAAGTGAAATGAGTTCATTGTGTGTTTCAGGTGGAAATATTTTGGGACATTCACGAAGAGGTGAGAGTGCGGGTGCGGGTGTGGATGTGAGTGCGGATGCGGGTGCGGGTGCGGGTACGGGTGCGGGTGTGGATGGGAGTGCGGTTGAGGATGTGAGTGCGGGTGCGATTGTGGATGTGAGTGTGGGTGCGGGTACGTGTGCGGGTGTGGATGTGAGTGCGGGTGCGGGTGCGTATGTGAGTGCGGGTGTGGATGTGAGTGCGGGTGCGGGTGCGGATGTGGATGTGAATGCGGGTGCGGGTGCGGGTGCGGGTACGGGTGCGGGTGTGGATGGGAGTGCGGTTGTGGATGTGAGTGCGGGTGCGATTGTTGATGTGAGTGCGGGTGCGGGTACGGGTGCGGGTGTGGATGTGGATGTGAGTGCGGGTGCGGGTGCGTATGGGAGTGCGGGTGTGGATGTGAGTGCGGGTGCGGGTGTGGATGTGACTGCGGGTGTGGGTGTGGGTGCGGGTGCAGGTGTGAGTGCGGGTTTGGGTGTGGGTGTGGGTGTGGAAGTGAATGTGACTGTGAGTGTGAGTGCGGGTGCGGGTGCGGGTGTGAGTGTGGGTGCGGGTTTGGGTGTGAGTGCGGATGCAGGTGTGAGTGCGGGTGTGGGTGTGGAAGTGAATGTGAGTGTGAGTGTGGGAGTGGATGTGAGTGTGGATGTGGGTGTGGATGTGAGTGTGGATGTGGGTGTGAGTATTGGCGTGGATGTGAGTGTGGGTGTAGTTGGAGCTGCCTCAGCTTTTGCATGTAATTCAAACGTGCCTCAAGTTGTTTTTGACACTGGAAACAGAATAGAAAGGCAATTTAGAGATATCTCGCTGGAATATCAGATTATGCTGTTTTCAAGAAAGAAGATGTTCCGGGTCCACTTCGCATTCGAGGTCCGACATGTTAAATTTGTTTGACGTCTATTATGAAAACATGGACCAATTCAGGACATTGATAAACAATAAGCATGATGTGTCTAGGGTAAACTGATGGAGCCTACATCCGTAGTCTTGGATCAACACATGCACGTTAATTCATTGACGGTTTTGATTACATTTCAGGATCTAAGGAAATAAACACACATTACACGCTGCTCGGAACAACAGCTGTAGAAAACATTTTGAGCACTTCAATTTCTTCTTTACTATAACTGTTAACCTTACATTTATCAAGATCTGAAAGTGTTTCTTAAACTACATTGTACTACAAACACAGTGTAGTTCCAGCATGCTAAATTAATGTGACTCCGTGCTAATTGCAGAGAAGGAAAAAGCAGTTTAGAAATCTATGTACCTGATAGTAAAAATAATTACGATAAAACGACATTGTTCAATCTGCTCAGTTTAAAATTTGTGTGAAACCAATATATATCAGATAAAAATACGGTATTGTTATCTACATATTTCATAGCTTATGGCGAGTTCTAGATATGAACCGTTTCTTAGTAAAGTTCATTGAATCGGTATATATTGTTGGTGTTAATTAACCTCTTATAGTAATAGTCAGCATATTGTATTCGCTTAAACTCGGTTTGAATTATTCGGTGATTAACAAAGGGAGACAGTATCCAAAGAACGAATATTTCGAACGTGTTTTCTAAAGTGTCGAAGTGTCTTTCTTGTCTGGAAGTCATGTTTATGACTATGTAGGGACTATGTACGTAAACATATTTCGGTGTTATCCATCTCATAATTTGTTGTATTCCTATTGTATAATTATTAAAGATAATTACTTGCAATGTAAATTACTTCTGTGCAATCACCCCGCTTTTTGTTAAATTTAAGCTGTTTCCCAACAGATATGACGTACGTATTGTCTGTTAAAACACACTTGATTGTTTATCGTTCTTAAGTATATGGGATTGTGGCCCCTGTACAACAACGTTTTTGATTTAATAGAATAATAAACTAAGCGGCAAAAGAAAGTATAGGTTGGCAATTTGTAATTTTCCTAAAAACAGCGATAACTAGTGGAAAGTGGGTACTGGGAATATGACTTCCCAGGAACAGGTACAAAAAAATACCTCACCCGAACGCGCCACCTTTGACGGCACTTGTGCGGTGACAAAAAAATGGTGAAACAATTTTCCCGCCTATGGCATAAACTGCACGTGCATGTTAGCTGTATAAATGCGTTCGTCTGCAGGGTATAACCACACGTGATGAAAGCACACGACTGTCACAGGAGCAGAGAGAGAGAGAGTCATGGGTATGGCCGAGGAATGGTACTGACTGCTCAACATCGACGCCTGAGACTGCGATGGGCGAGGCAGGTTCGAGTTCGAAATTGGCGTCGAGTGCTGTTTACTGATGAAAGTTTAACTTGTTTCAAAATGACGCAGAGAACGAGTATATCGACGCAGTGGGGGACGTTTGGCTCCGGCGTGTATTCGAGAGGTCCATCCTTTCGGCGGGAGAGGTGTCATGGTGTGGGGCGGTATTTATGGAGATAAGAAGACTGATTTGGTGATTATACAGAGAAACCTGAACGCAGAGTGTTGCAGCCAGTTGTGCTTCCGTTCTTACAAAACCAACAGCAGGGGACATTGTTTCAACACGACAATGCCAGGCCCCATACTGCAAGACTGACTCGGAACTTTCTAAACCAGCAGAACGTTGACGTTTTGCCCTCGCATACCCACTCACCCGATATGAATCCTATTGAACATCTGTGGGACCATCTTGACAGACAGATGAGAGCACGCCATCAGCCTCCCGTCAACAGACAAGAATTAAAGCAGGCCCTGAGAGACTAGTGGCAACGGATTTTAGTCCACGTCATCAGAAGACTGACGTCATCGATGAGGCGGCGTATCACAGCATGCATTGAGGCAGCTGGAGGTCATACACGCTATTGAAGGCAACTGTGTCGACAATGAACTTGTAGTGCGTCTGACAAGTTTTTGGTGACATTTCAGACAACTTTTGAAAATTAAATTTCTTACCCCACAATTGTTTACCTTGAGCTTACATTACCTGTGATTGCACAATTTCATTAAAACTGTGGTTGATCCATCATTTGTTACCCCCTCCCTAGATTATATTATAATTAACAACAAAACCTCTTCTTGTTATTTTTTTTTATAGATCATGGATCTCGATCTATACTTTCTTTTGCCGCCAAGTTTATGTTGTTGAGGATATGTTTGTGCGGTCGGAAGTATTCGTGAATGGCGGTGAACATACAAAATATAACTCTATGCTGGAATACACACACATATATAGGTATAGTACTCACCAAAGTTATATGAAGTTGAGACAAGTCTACATCTACCAAGAAAGCCCCTTGCTTGTGGCCGCTTCTGTCACTACCTGCGGGGATGGCCGGAGCTCCCCACTTTTATATCCAGCGATGGGATGTTAATGCAAACAGGCGCTGATTGAGTCAAGGTAAGACACGGTGTTTTTTCTCAAAGTCCACCCAGATAATTTATTCAGTGCTCGACAAAGGAACAGCAAATAACCCTGATATCATCCCGCTTGATGCCCTTGTTTGCGTCCGATGACGGGGCATCTTGTGAACAATAATCTTCTCTGATGACTCATTGCGCTGTTCTCACTGCCTCGATGCGGAGTTGTTTGTATTGGAGTTTGGCACGTGTTCGTCATGTATTTTACACATCAGTTAATGTAAATTATGCTTACTTGGTCGGTATCTATCCACCGTGTTTAAAGTCACACTTATCTCCCGACCTGTTGAATGTGTAAAACGGTGTCATATATCTTATAAAACCGTTATCACAATCGTTAGCAACCATGAAAAAGTATCCAAATGTATAATTAAGAAGTACACCAAGAGTAATAGCTTTGTTTAGTATGTGTTTTGTTTTACGTCTCAGTCAGTATCAGTGCCACTATATCACGGTGCAGACAAACCAGTGACCGATATTATGCGCAATGCCCCTCGGCGTCGAGGTACGATCACTGATCACCGAACCTGACCACGTGATCCACTCAGTACCGAGTACCAACAAGCACCGGTTACTGGAGACCAGAGGCTGTTCCTGTCTGTCAGCTGAAGTAAAGGGAATATGACGCGTTTGAAGCAGCCACAGTGATACTGGTGGTCTACGGCTTGCCGCGACTACTGCTTCAGTGCGACTTTAAGGTACTGTTGTATCACTTGGGGCGGCTTAATATTCATTATGGTGTTGGTTATTACTTTCAGAATTGTACATGTCAGGTATCTGGTCCGAATTTCTTTTTTTTCTTTTGTCTTTCCAACAATACGAAAAGTGACTGACTATTGTCCCTACAAAGCGATCCAAACCTTTTCGAATTCGAGGGCATAAAAGAAAACGTAAAAGGCGACTATGCTTGTCGTTAAACAACAAACAAACAAACAAACTTTAGCAACCCATGCTTGTCGTAAGAGGAGACTATGCTTGTCGTAAGAGGCGACTACCGGGACCGGGTGGTCAGGCTCGCTGACTTGGTTGACGCATGTCGTATCCCAATTACGTAGATTGATGCTCTTGATGTCTATCACTGGATTGTCTAGCCCATACTCGATTATTTACAGACCTTCATCATATAGCTTAAATATTGCTGAGTGAGGCGGTAGCAACACAAGAAATAAACCAAGCGTAATACGTGGAATTACGCATCATGATCAACCAGTTCCATGTGTGCGAGTGTGTTCCTTGGGGTGTATGAGTAATACAGAAATATACTGGGGGAAATGTAAAGGAAGAGCTGCCCAGAATATTACAATGTAAGGGAATCGAGCCCGCGCCTGTCGGGAGCGACGATACTTCAGCCTACTGTCTGTCTTCCCAATCGCCTGTTGAATCACTGAGAACCATTCAGCCCGACTATTGACGCCCGCGGACAATCTTCGGGCATTATACACGGCAGGTCATCAAGGACGGGTGTCACCGCTTAACATGTTATATTTGTCAACTTTTACACCCAACCCCGGCAGAGAGAAACATACACATGCGAAACGATGTTTGTTATTCTAAGACTTATTAAAATACATTCTTGTTTCTTATGACCAGACCGCCCCTGAAGTGACAAAGCTCATAATGTAAGAAACAAATGTTTCATCCCACCTGTCGTCTTTGCACCCGATTTCAACTTTTTGCTCACTTTTTCGGGAGTGGCAAAATGATTTAACGCAGTATATTATAATCCACTTCACGTTTATAACTATGAAGCCCACTAAAGAAGTGAATAAGAACACATACTCCCCGTACGATCTCGTGGGCACGGGGAGCCCAATCGTGTAAGACGCCTCATTGTGTTGTGCAGAGTTGCGTCTCTTGGTCACGCCAGGGGCCTGTGATTGTGAGTTCGAACCCCGGTTCGCCCCGATTATGTTCCTAGGTTTGTCAGCACCATGCCTTTTGCGCGTGGGTTTCACCCTAGTTGTAAACGTCTGAGACCTGCATCGCTTCGGGCTTTCCTCTCACATTAAGCTGACACGCCGTAATATGGCTGTAATACTGTAAAAAGCAGCGTTAAACTCACTCTCACTCACTCACTCAACTACCCAGTCAGTTTGGAGGAAATGAAGAGTTCGGCGGTGAAGTAAAAACAATCTTGACGAAGCAGGATGTATAGATAGGCATGGCGTTACCTGTCAGTGTAAATGCACGGGTCTCTCTCAAGGACATCGAGTGCACGTTCTGGCACATCTATTTGATTCAATTAGCTGTTAGTGTATTCTGTCACGACCAGGATTTCCCTCCAACAATAAGGAAACCAGATGAAAGGGAGATCCGGGACCTGATTTGCAAGAAGAATGACAGCCCAGTGCCATACTCGTCAATATTGACACTATCCTTGCTAAGCACATGCATACAGGCTAGCTTGTTGCAGGGGAAGTACACACTGTACGCTGAACGCTGTGGGGTGGCGGCAATGTGTGTGTAGTGTGTGTGTGTGTGTGTGTGTGTGTGTTCGTACTTGACCTTTTCCTGTTTTCACTCACAGTATTTACAGGTCAGCTAAAGTTGCCCTGGGGAATGTCCTTAAACCCAAGCTGCAGGGAACTGTAGTGTTCGAGTGTTATTGTTTCAGGGTCAGTGACAAAAAAACGTAAATGTTGTGTGAATGTGTATTGAATAAAAAGATCATTATTTGTGAGTGTGTAATCCTGAATCTAGGAATACAGGAAGAAACTGTTTGTTGCTGAAAATAAATGGACAAACTGTAAATGCATATTTGAGGATAGATATTTATATGCACATGAAATTAAAATACCTGTTTATTCACTCTTACCTTATGGGAAGAAACTAAAATGTATCAAAGAAATACCCGCAAATTAATATCAGTAACACATGAAACATTTCTTTTGTTTGATTTTAACGACATACTCAGCAATATTCCAGCTATATGACGGCGATCTGTACATTATCGAGTCTGGACCAGACAATCCAGTGATCGATACTATGAGTGAGTGAGTGAGTGAGTATGGTTTTACGCCGCTTTTAGCAATATTCCCGCAATATCACGGCGGGGGACACGAGGACGATACTATGAGCATCAATCTACGCAATGGAGATACGATGACATGGATCAACCAAATCAGCTGATCCCGTTAGATGCAGCTTACAACAAACCTGGATTTCCTGAAGATCAATTCTAACCCGGATTTTCAACGGTAGGATTTATTTGTAAATCGCTCATGAAATATATTTAATGAAACACAAAAAATGAATGTTATTCCACAATGTCTGTTATACTTCAAAATACATGCACGTTATTATAACACAGCTATAACAGGCGAAGTAAGAAATGCTGATGTTCTATCCCGTAGCCTTGACCGTAACCATCAGTACGTACACCAGTCACGCGCAACAAGATACCTGCACGTGCCATGACGTCATTGTGCCTGCGTTCTTTGACACACATCAAAGACTGGCCTGTTATTTCCCTGGCTAGTCAATGTGTCGCCTATTGTGTGGTAGCATAATGCCTTCAGACATTAAATCTCACGGGATTTAAGCTGTTCATCCTTCATCACACGTTTAAGTATAAAAGGCTGTTGAAGGAAAATAGAAAAATTCCTTTGGTAATTAAATTAGCATGTTAACAGCTACTTATTAGTCGTAGAGTTAGGGTCTCAATTGAAAAAAAAATAGTGGCGTCAGTTCTTAATTATCGAGCTTAGCTGATTTTATGACGTTACCTGTTTATAAGACTGAAACCGAAAATATAGCTGATTGAATACACGGTATTAGGGTGTGTTACCCTCGCTGAACTCGGTATATATTTCATGTGGTGTTGCAGGGATCGGGCAGGAGTGTGCGAGGGAAGCGGGGTTGGCTGTCATTCAAGGCCTCAGTAGAACTTTCAAAAAGTTTTATGGTAGACATGTGGAGGACATTTCAATAAATATCTTTAGAGTAAAGGTCATTTGCAATTACCTCTTTTGATTCTTTTTCCCGTGTTTTATCTGGTGAACATTTGTCTTGCCGTTGCATGTGTTTGCGACGGATGCCACCGGTGGCACAGGATACGCTCACCTTTTTTGCGTACTCCTGGTATCATCACTATTTGATAGTGATTCATAAACACGTGTTATATGGAAATGGTTTTGACCCTTGTAGGACGTCACTAACGACAGAAAAATTGTATGAGACTAATAAACACTACACGGGGGAACGACAGAACAGTTGTATGAGACTAATAAACACAACAAGGGGGAACGACAGAACAGTTGTATGAGACTAATAAACACAACAAGGGGGAACGACAGAACAGTTGTATGAGACTAATAAACACAACAAGGGGGAACGACAGAACAGTTGTATGAGACTAATAAACACAACAAGGGGGAACGACAGAACAGTTGTATGCGACTAAAAAACACAACAAGGGGGAACGACAGAACAGTTGTATGAGACTAATAAACACAACAAGGGGGAACGACAGAACAGTTGTATGAGACTAATAAACACAACAAGGGGGAACGACAGAACAGTTGTATGAGACTAATAAACACAACAAGGGGGAACGACAGAACAGTTGTATGAGACTAATAAACACAACAAGGGGGGACGACAGAACAGTTGTATGAGACTAATAAACACAACAAGGGGGAACGACAGAACAGTTGTATGAGACTAATAAACACAACAAGGGGGAACGACAGAACAGTTGTATGAGACTAATAAACACAACAAGGGGGAACGACAGAACAATTGTATGAGACTAATAAACACAACAAGGGGGAACGACAGCCGAATGAATGATGATGATGCACGAATGAGAGAAAACGTGCATAAATTATAAAACAACAGTACTATATTTGGGTGATAATTGAATACATTAATGCCATTGTTTATGTAACAGTTTGGCAATGAGTTTCAGGAATGTAATTACCACACCCGTCACGTAATAAGGACCT